CAAACATGACAATTCTAAAAAAATGATAGAGTTATATGAATGACGTAAACCATAAACTATTAAAATATTGAAACATAAATGTATAGATAATGTTCGGATAAAATACACAAATCATGTCTGTCACTACTTTCTCTCTTACTCTAACTCTTACTGAACGATTTTTCTCAACGATACGTCAAAAGATCACAAATCGTATCTAGTCGAAGACATTACCCTCAAAAATTAAAAAAAATTCCCTCGTTCTCCGTAAATGGGGGAAACTTACAAAAAAATTACAAATTTAAAAATTGCTAATTTTCGAAATTTTTGAAAATTTTTGAACTAAAAACTGCCATAACTTTTTCAAGAATGAACATATCAATATAATTTTATTTTTTCATAGATGTTTGATGTCTTTACCTATCATTTAGTATATTTTTATATTTATGAAAATAGACATCAAAGTTCATTAAAAATTACGATTTTTGTAAAATAATTCTTTTTTATATTTTTAATTTAATAATGCTAAAAATTTTTGAAAAATGTATGGATCAGTACAATTTTTTCATGAGGAGTAGTATCCATATACATCTTTCATTTGACATACTGTTTTTTTTAAATCCGACCATTTCCCTAGCCACGAGGGGGGTTCAAATCTAAAAAATGCATATGGAAAATAGAACTTTTTCAACTTAAATTTTGAAAGTGTTCCGGAAAGTCTGACACTTTTATATATATCTTAAATTAAAGCTAATATAATACACTTTATTATGCAGAAAAAAAATTTCGGACTTTATTTTATCTTCATGGTGAAAACAGACATCAAAGTTTATAAAAAAATACAATTTTTGTAAAAAAATTCTTTTTTATATTTTTAACTTTATATTGCTATAACTTTTTGAAAGATGTATGGATCAATATAATTTTTTTTTTATAGATGCATGATGTCTTCACCTATCATTTGGTATATATTTTTTTTATATCTAACCCTTTACCTGCCCACAGGGGGGATTTAAAATGACCACTTTTTCACAAAAAATTTACTTTTTCAACTTAACTTTTGAAAATGTTCCGGAAAGTCTGACACTTTTATATATATTTTAAATTAAAGCTAATGTAATTTACTTTATCATGCGAAAAAAAAATTTCTGACTTTATTTTATCTTCACGATGAAAATGTCTACCAAATGCTATTATTCTGTGAAAATTCTCGATTTTATTTTTTACATTTTTAACTTTATAATGCTATGACATATTGAAAAGTGTATGGATCAACATTATTTTTTTATGAGAAATAATATTTTTTAATAATCCCTTTTTCATTCTACATGCTTTATCTTAATTAGGATATTAATAAGGAACCAGCAGATCAAGTAGCTTTTGGAATAGTCAACCAATTTTTTAAAATTAAACACTATCAAAAGATTTGCATCGAGGCGTTTTTTTTTGATAGTGATTTTAATCACTGTCAGATATCATTATACTTGATCCATCTATACCACATCACCACTGTGCTACGACCCCCCTGTGCTGGGTTTTTAACTTTTTTTCAAGTTGTCATTACAAACATTTTGAAATACATGAAAAAATTAATATATATATATATATATTAATATTTTTATGTAATTAGAGAGTTAATAAAAACTTAAAAAAATAAGTGACCTATAATTAAGAAACTATATAATAACATTATTCAGTCTTATTTTCTTATGCTACATGTTACTTTTTGTAAAAAGAATAATTCATTTGATTTTAAAATATTTCAGATATTCGTTTTGAATAATTTTTGTTATTTCTAAATCTATGTAAACAAAATGATATAAATTAAAGTATATCTATAAATAAACTTAACACGTTTTATTGGAGTGTTAAAATAAATTACGCTCAGAACAAATAGCTAAAATTTAAAAAAAATACGATATACAAAATTCAAATAAATTATAAGTGTTTACAAAGATTCTATTTTCTAAAAACGACTCCTATAAAACGCTTTCATAATTCAAACTACTTTATTAGTGAAATAATTATTGAGCCATCTTTTTATTTCAATTAAAAGTTTTGCAACACATATGAACAAGTTGTAAGAAAAGTTTAAAAATTAAAAGATGATTGCAACTTATATATTTTGTTGTTTTTTCATATTCAGTAACATTAAAAATGGACAATCGAACGATTCCATTGTCAATAACATGAATCAATTGTTCAAACAAAAGTTTTGGAAAGAATATTTATTTAAGTCTGATATTATTGTAAAGGATAGTCATCAAAATTTAGTTACTATTTATGCTAATACTGCTGATGCTGAATCAGGAGAACAATGCGTTACCGAAGAAAATATTAATGAAAAAAAAGAGCAGCTTATATGGTATTACATTATTTCTATTGTCCAATGTTTAGAGATATTGTTTTTATGTTCAAAGATATGATAAACGATAATGTTCACATTAGTGTTTTTAAACAGTGTTTTGATAAATTAGAAACGACTTTTTCAAAAATAGAAAGTTCACTAGCATTGTTATCTAGTGGTTATGAGGGAGATGATCTTCCAAATCTTGTTCAAATATCAAAAATTACATTGAAAAGTGCAATCTATGAGGCTTATGAGAAATGTTTAGAATCTACAAATAATAATGAAGTGGACATGAGTAAAATATTAGATAATCTTTTGAATAATATCAATGAAATATTGGATCCATTCGTTAAGTTAGAAGAAGATAGTATAAGTAATCATCTGCCATACAGGGAAAACGATGGTAAACAGAAAATATTAGAATATTTTTGGAACAATATATATTATAAAGGTATCGATATGATCGGATTCAAAGTTCAGTGGTATTCCTTTGCTTTTACGGAATATGATATAAATAAATTTTATGAAAATACAGGTTTTAAATACAATGAAAAAACAAAAACAAGTAGTATAAATCAAACACAAGTAGAACCACTTGATTTATATGATATTGATTTCGAAAAATTTAATTTGTACTAGGTTTAGAAAAACTTTACTTAATGTTAAAATTATTTCTCTATACGACTTGATCATTGTTCTTCTTCATTAAATTGTATTAGTGTAATTTTATATTTTATAATAACATTAAAAAAATTAAATATTTTGACTTTAATACTTTTTTGATTTATCTTTGTAATTTTTGACTTTGCCTATCTTGTATTTATTAAATATATTATTTTACTAATTTATTTTTTAATAAATTTACAATCTCTTAAAAGTGATTTTTTTTTCATTTTTAGCTTATCTTTTTACTATCAATTAAGATAATTTCAATATGTGCAATACATATTGTTATCATATTAATAGTGATACATTATTCGTTATATTTCTAATATAACACTTAATATCTTTAGTACAATAATACAATTTCTAATTAAGTACAATAAATTGAAATCTATATTTTATCATAATATTTTTGAGAAAAGTTCAAAAATATTTCATTTACTGATTTTGAGCATAAATCGGTAGCTTATTACTTAAAATAAAATAAAAATATCTGTGTTAAACATGGTAAAAACTATAAACTACAATTTTTATATAAATAAAAAGTTATTTTTTTTGAGAAATAAATCTTTTATTTGTTAAAAAGGTAATAATTAAGCTTAAAAATGTTAGAGATATTATATACTTCAAATAATAGTAAATAAATCATCAAATTTTAAGTTTACAAACACGTTATAGTTTAATTTAGAAGCTTCCAAATTTATATTTGACAGTCAAATTAAGTTTAGCTTCTAGTAATTATATAGAATATTATTTAGTGAGATTTTTTTTGATTCCATTAACACTAAAGCATTTTTGGGAGGGTTTATTTTTTGAATTATAAACAACAAATAAAACATTAAGAAGCTATCATTTTTTGACTCATGTTTAGAAATTTTTTTATGTTTTTGTTTTTGTATTTGAAAGCACATTATTACTATACCTATATGGTTCGTGTGATTGTTTTTATGTTTAAACGTATAATACTATTTATGTTTTCACTTAGTAAAATGAAACAGCGTCTTGATAAATTATATACTACTTTTTCAAAAATTAAAAGTTCACTAGAATTGTTATCTAGTGGTTATACGCGAAAAAATCTTCCAAATCTTAAATCAAAATTGTATAATAGTATTAAAAAAAATTAATTGAGCATAAATATCTAGAGAATATTTTTTTTTCATTTAGAGACTACAAATAATTAAATCCAATCCTATATGTATATGTTTTTATTCAGTTAAGACTTGTCACTGAAACGCAAGTAGGAAGTTTGTTAATTGGTAGTTCGCGTTATTGATTTATACACTAATAAAATTTGCCCTCTTGAACTAGTTATTGACTTGATTATTATTATTTCTTTATAATAAATAATCATTTTTCTTCCTCATTAAAATTTTTAATATTATAGGTATTTCTAAAAAAAAAATTGAGCAGAAGTATTTTAAGTTATATAAATAAGTTTTCAGTTTGCCTCTTAAATATTGCATTCCATTAATATTAACTGCAGTTGTTATTAAGTTTAAATAATGTTTTGATACTTCTCTCATTATTATTTTTATCTATTAAGCAATAAAATTTAATATCATTATAATTATTTTTTTAGTAATTACTTCTATCTATTATATGTATAAACTATTATATAAATGATAAAATTCACACAAATAATAGTAGAAGTTGTCACAGATATATCGATATTATAATTAATTATATTCCAAAATTATGTATTAATTTTTTAAGATAATAAGTAATGAATAACACATTAAGTAATAAATAGATAATAATATCGTTTTTGACGCCTATTTTTAAACAATTGAATTAGTGTATCATTAAAATTAACAAAAATTAAATTTTAATATGATGTTGAAAGATAATTTCTAAAAAATTTTTTACTAAAGATTGTTTCTCCAATTGAAGTTAGTCAATATTTTTAATTAAATAATTTTTATATTTTAATCCTAGACAGAATTGTACTAATAACCTGTGACAAAATAATCCTATGGGTTATTTTACATAATATTATCTTAAAAAATGTCTAATTTAATAATGTGAAAAAATTGAATGTATCATTAAATATCATTTATTCTATATTGTTATTATTTATTTTTTAGTGTGATATGTAGTCAATTATTATTGAATTAATTAATATAAACACGATCTTAATTGAATAGCCTATCCTAGATTATGAGATGACCTAAATTTGATACGGTTCCGTATATTTTGCGATATGTTTAATACATGATCATTTCGTCTCTTCCATCAGCCGCCTTATTACACTGGAAGTCCAGTCTGATTAGAGTACCCTCGCTATCTAGTTGGGATGCAAAGTCTATCTACTGGAGCGCGGTCGATTACCAACCGCCGCCGGTGAACGCTCTCTCTTTTTGTCTTGGACGTCCTATGTGAACTAACTCTAACCGCCGTTTTTTACGTGTCGCACATTGACAGGTACTTTACTATATATATATCATAATTCATAAGTTGTATTTCATCTCTTTTGATAAATTTTTAATATATATATTTGTTTATTTAAATTTGTTTTTTTTCTCCTCTCGGGCAGTGCCGTTGCAATTATTATTTAGACATTATTGTGCGTGGTTGTGTTACCTATATTATATTTAAAAAACGTTTATTGACACTAGAACTATCCGTGTCAAATTTTCTGTTGATAGAACAAAATAATAATGATAAAAAAAAAATAGTCAGTCTTATTTATATTTATTTTGAGTCTCTATTTAATAAATCATAATATGCGAAAAATAATATATAAAACAATTTCGGAATGGATATTATTCTGCTTCTTTTTTTGTTAAATTGTAATAAAATTTGTACATTTAAAAATTGATGAGTAATAATAACTATACTAAAGTTAAATACTAAAGCATTTGATATGATTAATTATTTGTTAACAAAAAAATTAAATGATATAATATAAAATTGTATAACTGGGTCCCGAGACTTAAAGCACTTAAAAACATTTTAGGAATAAGCAAAGAAAAAGCCATTTTAAAATATAATTATAAATACCAGATATTTGTGCCTATTTTCCAAAACTACAATATAACCATTAACAAAAATTATGTAAAATTAAATGAGTTTAATTAATAAAAAATTAAATTTTTTACAAAAAAACAAGACCTAAATCTTAGGTTTCTTGAGTTTCTGAAAAAATAAATAAAAAATAGTTTAAATAATAGCTGGAAAAAAATTCATTTATTTTATTTAAATAATTTATTTACTTAAATATGTTTCTTACTTTCACTATTTCAATTAATAATCAAGTGTTTTCTGAGGTTTAAATAATGTAAAGGATCGTTCGAAAGCCCAGTTTTATAAGCTAAAAATGAGCGCTTGACAACAGCCGATGTAATAGGCGCATATTTAAAGTGAACAATATTGTCACTTGAATAGTCTTTGAGAAAATTGTTAAAGTCATATAGATCACTACCATCTTCACCATCGAGTATTTTTGATATTTTTTTAATAATTCTCAAGCCATCATTTTTTTCAAAAACTTTATTTAGTTCGGTAATAATTGGATTCTCGTAATTACTTTTTAATGTAGAAAATTCTGTTGTACATTTTGAACCACTGCTAGTGAATCACATAGTAAAACATCTTTTTTTGTAGTTCTATAATGGCTTTGATAAAAATTTCAAAATTACTTTTTGTATAAGCCAAATTTGCTTCTAAGCCTGGTTTCACTATGCATATGTTAACTCTTTTGATACTGTCACCGTCGTTTTCATTTAGACAGCTTTCGACGTGTCGAAATTCTTTAAAATGTTCGCAATGATAAATTGTAGCCTCTATCCAAGACCTCAACGTGTAATAGTTAGTTCAGGGAGCAAATTTTTATCTAATTTAAATAATTTAACATAAGATGGAGCTTTACAAAATATATTTTTCATATTTTATATTAATTCATCAACTGTACCAAATTGTCCGCGAATTTATTTGGAAATTCTGAGTAGTTCGTGGGAACAACAAGTAACGTGAATCATTTTTGTACATACATTTTTAAGAATAGTACCTGATTTTACCATATATGGAGCATAATCTGATAAAAATAATAAGACGATATTGTATTTTATATCATAGAGTCAAATATAACCTTTTCATTTCGATTTCGATTCCGTTGGAATACTATTACCAGTATACTTCTCTAAAATAGTCCTAAAAATATTGTTAGAAAGCTTATTTAACGGATTATTGACAGAAACCATGGCTTGGTATAAATTCATATTGAAGTTTGATTTCGCTGAATTTCGATTGATTAAAAGTAATTGAGATTTATCTGCACATATTTTTTGTGATGTTTGACACTTTTAATGAGACATATATATATATTTTTTTTTTAAACTTTAATTTTATCTCACATATTTTAAATATAAAACATGCCCGTCCGTGATCAAAATTTCATACTCGAATTCTAAAACATATTTTTTTAAAAGCACACTAGCTGATACCTATTGTTTTCCCATTTCATTTTAAATAAACGACCAAGATCAACTAATCATTAGTCAATACAACTAGATCGGTTATCCATTTCGTGGTTATCAGATTACGGGGGTCTCATACTATTTATAAAATACATTATTTATTGATATTTATAACCAACCCAAACCCAACCGAACCCTGGGCGGAATGCATTGTGGAGGCGGCCCCTTATACATAAACAAGGAAATATATTTTTTTACTTATTAAATAACGACCTTAACTATGAAATCAATGCTACTCATTCAGACGTTGCAGACTTGTAATTTAAAATAATTTACTTTTTTAAATAAATGTATTAATTGTTGGCCAATTGAAAAAATGTTTTGTTATATTTATTGGCTTAATGTAAACAAGGCAAATTTTTTTGCTTAAATAGGATAAAAAATGCTGTTTAAATCGACACCGTTTGGTGATCTTATGCTTAAGTTATTTTTTGTGATAAATGAGTACGTATATACTTTAAACACTTTAACTGTTACATTTTTCTCTAAGTATAACTAAAATTTTTTAAGTTTTTTGTGTATATATTTATAAAAAAATATGGAGTCAGATTTGTTTTTCGTGATAACGACGTTGGTGATATATTTTATAATTCCATTTCAAGTAATCAGAGATATTATGTTTATTGCATTGGCAGTTGTGTCGCTGCAGACTTTTTTGGAGATGAAACTTTTTAAGAAGAAAATTACTTCAACTAAACCAGTAGAATCTATTTAGAATAATCGCCGCCCAGTTTTGACTACACATCCTATTATTTTGGACACACCTATTTTGACAAAAAAATCAATTTTAGAAGAATCGCTCATAGAAGATAAATTTACGGGAACTCCGATAATTGAAACCGAAAAAGAGCCCTCAAACACTTATACGAACATTTCATTAATGAATAATGAAATTGAACCCGTCAAAAAACTAAACCCAGAAATTGTTACGAAAACTGAAATTGAAAAAGAGCCCACTAACACTCCTACAGAAACTTCTGTAAAAGCTGATAAGTCTTTTAACTCAGACTTTATACAGTCAAAAAACAATAATTCAACACAACCATTTGAAATAGTGTCAGGAAATATATTTACAACAAATCAAGAAAACCGCACCTTAATAGAAAATTCACTCAAATTTAGTAGAATACAGTCTAAAAAATTAACAGAAAATATTACAACATCTAACACTAACAGTGCGTTGCTAAGTAAAAAAACTGAACTTTTTACTCTAGAAGGCCTGGAAAAAACTAAAGAGAATGGAAATTTATGTCGTGAAAATAATAACAAAAAATCCGCAACTAGAACTCGGCCTAAGGATATTAAAAAACATTTATGGGATAAGAGGTACTTATTGTTTTCTAAATTCGACGAAGGAATCATGATGGACAATGGTAATAAAATTATTATTTCAACAAAGTTTTTTACTATATTTGATAACGTTTTTTTTTTTTAGAATCATTTTATTCAGTTTGTCCTGAAATCTTAAGTACACACATAGTGTTGAGATGTCCTGGCCTATATGTCGCTATGGATCCGTTTTGTGGCGCTGGTGGTAACGTCATCCAATTGGCCAAAAGATACAAACAAAAAATCGCTGTGGAAAACGATGCTAATAAATTGGAATTCGCGAAAATAAATGCTGAGATTTATGGAGTCAGGGAGAAAATTACATTTATACTGGGAGATTTCTTCAAAATTGCAGAAACCTTAAAAAAATATAAGCCACAGGTCATAGTGACGTCTCCCCCCCATGGGGCGGCCCTTCGTATAAGAAACACGAAGTTTACAGTCTCGAAAAACATATGTGTAGCAACTACGAAGGAGGCGGTAAAAAACTATTCGACCTGTTAAGAAGTATTGCTCCCAACGTAGCACTCTACATACCTAAAACTACAGGTCGAAACGAGGTAAATGAATCAAATTTCTATAAGTAAATCACAATTGTAGTTAATGTCGATCAAATAATTTTCTAGTTGATACAATTTGGCAAACTATTCGATTTAAACATGGAAATTGAACATAATTATATTGACGATAGACACGATTCGATCACTGCGTTTTTCGGCAGCTTTTTCAACATGAATACTAAATACTTATCCGACGACAACAAACTTTACACTAATAAAAAATTCTTGAAGTATCCAGAATCAGCTGATTACTATTATTGTTAAATATTAATTCAATCAACCTTTACTATTTTTCGATTAAGTACTGCTTTGTATTTTGATTTTTTCTAATTATTGACATTAAACCGATAGAAGACACATACAAATTTCGAAATATTCTAATTTTTATGTTAAACGTACTACCGATTTTCGAATAAATATAAATACCTTATAATTCTTAAATTTTTGCCGCAGCATGCTGTCGGATGACATATTTTACTGAAAAGTAAATTTAAATAATTGTATTTTCATTATAAAACATATATTTTTTTTTATGCGCTTGATTTTTATAACTTGAATTAAATTTTTTAATGATTTTAGTTTTATGATTAATATTTTTACAGTAAATATTACATTAAATTACTTTTGAATTTATTTTGTTGATCAAAAATCAGTAAATATAATTTAATTCTTAAAATTGTTTAACTCGAAATATTTGTTATATTGTATTCTATAATAAATAATTATTATAAAAAATCAGATGCTTCTAGTTATTTTTCAACAAATTAATTTGAAAATATTTCATTGATTTATTATTAAATTAATGTTTAAAAAGTTGATTTATGTTGTTTAAAAATTATTAGAACATTTTTTAGTGCTTATAGTGGCTTTTGAATAAATTAATCATAATCGATACGATTATCTTATTGTTTTAATGCTTTTCGTGTGCCTTAAGCGTCAAACTTAATGTTAAACCGACACTAGTTTCAGTTCCGATAAAATTCATTAGATGATTTATTAAGTAACATGTTACCAAAATTGTTTGAATCTTATACAATGGTAGTAGAACACACAATTAGAGTTAAAAAATGAATAAATAATAAAGTAAAATTATTCAAATTGTAGTTGATACCTATTTTTATTGAAAAAAAATAATTTAAATTAATTTAATAATATTAAAATATTAATAAGAAGGGAGACTACAGTGATTGGGTCCTTGATATTCAAACTAATTGAGATAGAATTTGAACAAATTTTGAATATTTTCCAACTCATTGAAAATTAATAAAAAAATGCGAGTTCGAACATCATACCGTGAGCGTAAGAGACTATTAGTGTCATCGACGTGGCAACTGTACATTTCATATGTTGATGACTAAAAATGGACATTTAAGCTAATCCAAAAATAGTTTTTTTAACTTAAGGAAGGCAAATATTCAATTAGAACATTTATAATGTCAGTGGCCTCATCATGAATCTTCATGACTTAATTACTGAAATTTTAATTCATAATAATGAGTCATTCCTCAATAACTATATAAAAATTATAGATTTGAAACATACAGTTGAACTGCTAAACTTGAGCCAAATTGTAAAGTTAACCTAAACTACTTTTATTTCATAATATATTTTCAATCATGGAAAAAAATTCTATATGAAAAAATAATATAATTTGGAATTATTAAAAAACTAAAAATACAGTTTATAGATATTCATAAGTTTTATTTTAACTTAAGTTTTGAAAATGTTTCGGAAATACTCTGAGCTTTAAACATATGTAAAAACCAACTAGTGCGTGTTACAAGTAAGCGCAGATGAAGTGAAACTTCTGTCGTTATGAAGATATCAGTAGGGTAATATTGGGAATTCTAGAACCCCCTCGCCTCACCCCTTCACCTACCCACCCACCGATGGGTGGCGTGGTCGGGGGGAGGGGCGTGTCACACAGTGGGCGTGGTCTT